TCCAAAAGCTGCTGGACATTGCTGGGGATGGGGGGATCCTTCCAAAAGCTGCTGGACATTGCTGGGGACGGTGGAGGGGTGGGGGGGTCCTTCCAAAAGTTGCTGGACATTGCTGGGGAGGGGTGAATCCCCACGGTTCAAAACATCCTGCCCAATGTGTCTGACTTCCCTTTTGGGCGATTGACCCATTAGGGCCTCAGGTTCCGCTTGATGTCAGGGTTGGGTGATCTTGGCCAGGCTGCTAGCAGGGTTGTTACATTTGACCTCAGTGTCTAGGGAGGGCCAGCCTTTCTCACATGTTTATTAGACACTGTCCATATTGGAAGGTACACATGTCGACTGAGAATGGGACTAGATTCAGACCTACAATGACAACCTACAATGCTCAGCTGTCTGTGTTTAGTACCTCAAGGTCAGCTGTCAGATGGCCCAGGGAAAGGAATACGAAATGGTGAAAAAACAATATATAGTACAACTTCTGAGTAAACCTCCAGTAATAGTGTGAGTCATGTGAATAATCAAGGCAGACATTATACATCAGGCCACACACGCCTCAGCTGCAGCTGTTTATTAGCGGAAATCAATTCATTATTTTGATGCTTTAAAACTCCCAATAGAGCACCAACCAGAAGCTTCAGCACACACTGCCAGATGGTGGAAGTGGAGAGTCTGAACTTGAATGTGAACTTCTGTGGGTGCCAATGTGCTAACTTACTTTCATCTTACTCCAGCCTCTGCTACACACCATGTATCCTTCCATCCACCCAGCTTACCTTCAATCTCCCTATTCACCTCCTATAACTGAAGCAGATTACATTGATTGGTGAGATTTTTCTGAAAATCTGGCAGATTTTCTCTCTGTTCACACAACTAATGTGATTTCCCTGGAACCCAGTGAGGAACGGTTACAAAGCTTCATCAGTAAAACAGTGAATCCATCCATTGTCAATAAAGACAAGTAATCCCCTTGCCCTACCCTTTTGGCAATCTTTATCCATCCCACTGATGCTCTGGACAGCAAGGATCCAAAGGAAAGATACTGTCAGGTAATGAGGGCTTACTGCGGCAGCTCCCTAGAGAAACGTGGCTTATGGAGTCTCCATTGACATTGACAAACCTTCTGTTCATCCTCAGCATTAAGAGCTGTGTAACAAGAACAGAAAAAGCTGGAGAAACTCAGTAGATCTGGCAACAACTGTGGAAAGAGGAACAGAGTTAATGTTTCAAACCTGGTGTAACTCTTCTTCAGAACTCTGCTCTGCTTCCCACTGGACTTGAAACATTAACTCTGTTTCTCTCTCCATAGATGCTGTCAAACTTGATGAGTTTCTAGAGCATTTTCTGTTTGTTTCAGATTTCCTGCATCCTCAGTATTTTGCCTTTATTAAGAGCTATGTGTTTGACTGGGCTTACACTGGTGACAGGTGAGGTAGTTCCTGTTGCTTGCCTCGTGATGAATGAACAGTCCCTAAGTTTCTCCTAAGCCAGGTAGCTTCCCCTAGACCCACCCTAGTCCAATACTGACACCAACTACACAGGAACCACTGGATGACTCTGTCTCACTTTGAGGTGCTTGGGTTCCAATCACCGTCCCCACATTTCCACGGATAAGCTCCTAAACTCTATCTTAGACAAAATCCACCACTCCTTCATTCCATGCCAATGTGCACTAATGTGTCTGTGTACTACACCAGCCCTTAACAATAGCAAAAGACCAGCAAGTGCAGCAGCTTCTAGCGTTTGTGTATAATAATGCAAATACTCTGATACAAACCCAACTGTTGTCTCCCAGCTCCAGGGTTCCCAAGGTTTGCACTGGGATGCGCTGATCTAAATGTTGGGACCTATATAAAAAAAAGGCATTTTAGCTTCAATAGCAAACATGTTGACACTTTTCTTAAATTAAAAATTGATTATAATTTTCTGGAGTCAACTATGAGTCAACCCAGAGAGTAGCACTCTCATCTCTGAGGTACAAAGTTGTCCATTCAAGTTCTACACTTGACTGGTGAGCATAAAATACAGGCAAATTCTACAATGCAGTACTGAGGGAGAGCAGCACTGTCAGAGGTGCCTGTCTTTTTGATAAGGTGCTAAACTGAGGCTCATTGCATGAATGTAAAAGATTCTATTGTAATATTTTTAAGAACTGTGTTGTTTCTCCTGATGCCCCATGCAAGATTTATCCCTCAAACAACCTGACTGCAAATATTACAAGGACATTTTTACATTGATCTTTGGACAAAGTGGTTGCTGTCAATCCTATAGCAGATCTACTACACTTCAAAAATAATTCATCGGTTGCAATGCACTTTAGAATGTTGTGAATTTGTGAAAGGCCCAGAGTCATTTCAGTGTTCTCATACTCTGATGGAACTTTTTCCATGAAGAGATACAGATAATAGAGAAAATTACAACACAATGGAAATGATTCTCTGATAATTCTCCTTTCTCAGTAAGATGTTAGACCATAAAGAATTAATAAATGTGTTTCTCCATAATATTTCTGTGTTCATCCTGTTGCAGGGTGGCTGACATCAATCCTGAATAATACTCTGTTTTTTCACATTTCTTTGGCACACTGTCAGTCTTAAACATTCCTCACTCATAGTCACTTGATAGTTCACAACTTGAGAGTTACTCAGTGAGAGACAGTTGAAGCTTTTTATCTTATGCTCATCAGGACTAACACAAGAATGCCAAATTTCAAAGGGAGCAATAGTTGCGTGAGGAAAGTGGTGCTGATTGCTCGGCAACTCCAGTTTGATTGGTTGTAGCATACCCTTGATGTGTCCTAGTTCAGTATCAAACATGCTCAGTGAGCAATTGGTTTGGGCCTACTTACAAGGTTATTAATGATGCCAATCTTGTAACATATAGAGCTGTAGGATTCCCAGCATTTCCATTGACCAGCAAAGGTAGCTTGCAGTAGATTGTAGCACAGAATTCATTGGTTTCTGAACTAGCCATAGGTACTGGATACATTAATCACTTGGTGGCTCAGTGGTTAGCACAACTGCCTCACAGTGCCAGGGACTCGGGTTCAATTCCACCCTTGGGCAACTGTTTTTGTGGAATTTACACATTCTCCCCGTGTCTGCGTGGGTTTCCTCTGGGTGCTCTGGTTTCCTCCCACAGTTCAAAGACGTGCAGGTTAGGTGGATTGGCCATGGGAATTGCAGGGTTACAGGGATAGGGTAGGAGGGTTGGATCTGGATGGGGTGCTCTTTGGAGGGTCAATGTGGACCTGATGGGCCAAATGGTCTGCTTCCACATTGTAGGAATTCTATGAATTTCAGCGTCAGTACATCTCAGTAACTATATCATGCTTGTCTCTCGAACTGTTCATAACTGGCAGAATACTGAATATACCGAACCAAACTGCACTTGCAAAACTCAGAACACAATGTCTAATGTTAGATGCGCTTCTGCAGTTGGATAGCATTTGTTGAACAATCCTAAGCATGCTAAAGATCACACTAACAACTAATTGAATTCTATCAGTTGAGCTCACAAGGCCTATGCTTGCTAGTAGCTACACACATTCATATGAAAGAACCTGTTCTCTGCAGACAAAATGAATATATCCAGGCATTGCATCTTTTTTTTGAATAAAAGAAAGCATGTTGGACAATATCTCCTGAGGCATTCACCTAGCAATATCTCAATAAACCAGATCGAATCTGTCAACTAATCAGCACCAAAAATTGTTGTTCCCTTTGGCATTTTTGTGTCTGTGCTGATGAGTGCAAGACAAAAGACTTCAACAGCAAGGTGCCCTTTATTTTAGCAATCTCTCAGTCAGGCATAACAGGGACTGAATAAAATGTGTTGCCTTTGGAAGCTGGTGCAAAGAAACCCTGGCTCTTCAGCAATTCCGTTAATGGTTGGGCCCAGACACTGAGATTTCTCAATGCCTAAGTACAATTTATGGATCACTGGAGACATCCATTGTGGCTGTATTATAAGTTGGACACTGGTGGACACCAGGCCATGGATTCACTCCAACCTTCCATCCACAGGCTCCATCCACACTACACAACCTGACACTTGAGTCAGTGACTGTGTGACTTGTGGAAGCAGCTACATTACCAAGGTCCAATTGTAAATTTTAAGGATAGACTAATGGCTCCTTGATTGTTTTGTTGTAAGTACATAATGACAGGTTAATATGTTGGCTTCATTAGTAAATGTGAGTGTTGTCTGCTGGATATATCACAGCCAAACTGCACAATTCTACCTCAGCTTTACGGTTCCCCCCATCCCCAACCAAACCACATGCCCCCCACCATTATTCAGGGCAGAAGCAGGTTGCCAGAAACTGACTGCAACACTGAGAGTGCTATTGCCTCTCCTCGTCAGAGGGACTCTTTCTGTTTTACCTGGATGTCTGAGCTTGGTTCACTTTGATTCAGGACACCGAAATCTAAGGAGAGAAAGGTTATGGTAAGAAATGGCATGAAACTGGAGCATGATGCTCTTCCATTTGCTGTTCCCAGCAGAACCAGATTTAGTCCCTGGCAGTTGTTACTAAAGCCCTTTGCCCCAAACGCTAAGTGCTTGCATTGAGAGGCCCTCACTGAAATACAACATCTAGAATCCTGTATAGCACTTATATCATTTTACCCACTCCTTTCATCTGGGCAGTGATCTTCTGGACATTTTGTATTTCAACCTCCAACTACATTAACGTGTATTTTCTATCTTCTCCCACCCTTCATCACACTGCTGTAATTATTCCATTGGTTGTTCACATTCCTGCCTCAGTGTCAGGAGGTCATTAATTCCATAAATTGGTAACATAGACTGTTCATCCAAAGCAATCCCACACTGTTGGAGGCCTCATATTACAAACCAAAATTTGTTCGGTTGCCTGAGGCTGTCTATTCAAATTAAATGCAATGATGTAAGAGTTATTGTTTTAAGAGCTGTATTGCTTTAAAGAACTGGATATATTAATGATCCTGTGGACCAAGATGAAACCACCTGACCAATTGCCATATGCAATCCAGCAAGAGGGTGTTAGATAAAAACCGAAAGAACTGCGGGTGCTGTAAATCAGAAGCAAAAGCAGAAATTGCTGGAAATGTTCAGCAGATCTGGCAGCATCTGTGAGGAGAGATCAGAGTTAACGTTTCAAGTCCAGTGACCCTTCCTCAGAATGTGTCAGAGTCTGGATGCATACGTTATTATCTGTCATATTAGTTGTCTTGGTTAACCAATTGTTAACACAGAAAGCTGAGGAGGATAGGGCAAGAGAGGAGGGGAGGTCTAGGGTCAGACATCAAACTTTGCTTTTCTCTTTCACTGAAAAGGGCAGGGAGCTTAATGCCTGTAACAGTGAGGGAGACAGAATAACCTCACTTCCTTTCCAACCAGAAGATCTAAGTTGAGATATGAAGATAATAAAGTGTTAGTGGTGATTGGCTCAGGGACTGCGAGTTGTAAAGTCTGCCTGTCAGGGGAAGAGTAGCAATTGTGCTTCCTATGATACAATAAGCAGTGAAGGTTGAATATACTTTTCTAGAAAAGTCTGAATTGAGTAATATTATTGTTAAATTAAATTACTTTTAATTCATAATCGTTAAACATGATGAATTAATTTGCGGATTCAGTATTTACTTTGCCACAGGAGTTCTGCCTCCTAAAGGTAAATAAAATTCATATGGTAATCTCAACACAAGCACAGTACCCAGTAACTGAATGTGAGATCTTATTGTTTCGTCCTCAGCATCATTCTCTTCTTTCGCAAGATCTGATAGAGTGAAGGTGATCTTCAGATTGTCAGGAATTCAGGATCCACTTACAGGAGTGACAGGCAATGTTGTATCTATGAGAATATTGATCGTGAGACTGAACCCTCTAACACTTGGATTGTTGAACACAATAAATTGAAGATTCATACCAGACTCAGTAACAGAGCCGTGGGCCTTCCCTTCTGTGTTGTCTATTTCTATGACAAAATTAGATGGGAAGCCCCCAGTTTGTCCATTCTTCCTTCCTATCCACCAACCATCTTCAATCTGGAAGGCAAAAAAAAAAAATTTTAAATAAGTTGGATGAAGTTTGGCATGGTGTCATGACCGAGCAAGTCTCTGTTTATCATAATGAGAGGTTTTGATAAAATAGATTGTAAGAATCTGTTTCTATTGGTAGGTAGATCTGTAAGCACAGACATAGATTAGCAACAAAGGCAAGGAGGAGGTGAGGAGAATATTTTTTTCAATGCAGTGCATCTTTATGATCAGGAATACACAGCAGTCTTCCAATCCCAAATACAAGCAGACAACAATCAGTCAGTGATGACAAAACAGGAACACCTTTCAAGAAGCATTTGGCTAGATGAATTTTTGGTTTACACTTAATCTGTCCATTGAGTCAGATGACATAGATGATACAAACTTCTATGCTTGAGACTCCAGATTTTGTTGCAAGAGGCTTAACAGGTAAAGCAGATGAACTCAGGGCATGGTTGAGAACATGGGACTGGGATATCATAGCAATTACAGAGACTGGCACAGGTTGGACAGGATTGGCAGCTTAATGTTCCAGGCTATAGATGCTCTAGGAAGGATAGAAAGGGGAGCAAGAGAGGAGGGGGAAGTGGCATTTCTGATTAAGGATAACATTACGGCTGTACTTACGGAGGATATTCCCTGGAATACATCTGGGGAATTTATTTGGGCAGAACTGAGAAATAAGAAAAGGATGATCATATATTGGGATTGCACTATAGACACCCCAATAATCAGTGAGAAATTGAGAAACAAATTTATAAGGAGATCTCAGTTATCTGTGAGAATAATAGGGTGGTTATGGTGGGGATTTTAACTTTCCAAACATAGACTGGCTCTGCTATAGTGTTAAGGACTTGGATTGAGAGGAATTTGTCACGTGTATACAAGAAAATATTCTGATTGAGTAAGTGATGTACCTGCTAGAGAAGGAGCAAAACTTGACCTACTCTTGGGAAATAAGGCAGGGCAGGTGACTGAGGTGTCAGTGGGGGAGCACTTTGGAGCCAGTTACCATAATTCTATCAGATTTAAAATAGTGGTGGAAAAGGACAGACCGGATCTAAAAGTTAAAGTTTTAAATTGGAGGAAGGTCTATTTTTGATGGGATTAGGCAAGAACTTTCAAAAGTTGATTGCGGGCAGATATTTGCAAGTAAAGGGACAGCTGGAAAATGGGAAGCCTTCAAAAATGAGATAATGAGAGTCCAGAGACAATATGTGCTGTTAGGGTGAAGGGCAAGGCTGGTAGGTGTAGGAAATGCTGGATGACTACAGAAATTGAGGCTTTGGCAAGAAAATGATGGAAGCAAATGTCAGGTATAGACAACAGGGATCGAGTGAATCCCCAGAAGAATATAAAGGCAGTAGGAGTATATTTAAGAGGTAAGTCAGGAGTGCAAAATGGGTACATGAGAGCTTTAGCAAATAGGGTTAAGGAGAATCCAAAGGAATTCTACAAATACATTAAGGATAAAAGAGTAACTATGGAGAGGATAGGGCCCCTTAAAGATCAGTAAGGCCGGCTACGTGTGGAACCGCAGGAGATGGGGGAGATACTAAACAAGTATTCTATGTCAGTGTTTACTGTGGAGAAGGATATGGAAGATAGAAAACGTGGGGAAATAAATAGCAACATCTTGAAAAATGTCCATATTACAGAGAGGGAGGTGCTGGACTTCTTAAAATGCATTAAGGTGGATAAATCTCCGGGACCTGATCAGGTGTACCCCAGAACTCTGTGGGAAGCTGGGAAAGTGATTGCTGGGCCCGTTGCTGAGATATTTGCATCATCGATAGCCACAGGTGAGGTGCCAGAAGACTGGAGGTTGGCTAACATGGTGCTGCTATTTAAGAAATGGTTTGGATGAGAGGCACAGATAAAGTGGATAGTCAGAGACATTTTCCCAGGATGGAAATGACTATTACGAGGGGACATAATTTTAAGGTGATTGGAGGAAGGTATAGGGGAGATGTCAGAGGTAGGTTCTTTACACAGAGAATGGTGGGTGTGTGGAACGCACTGCCAGCAGTGGTAATGGAGTCAGATACTTTAGAGACTTTTAAGCGACTCTTGGATAGGCACATGGAGAATAGTAAAATGTAGGGTATGCAGGGTAGTTTAATCTTACTAGGATAATAGGTCAGCATAACATTGTGGGCCGAAGGGCCTGTACTGTGCTGTACTGTTCTATGTTCTATGTTTTTAAAAGTGGTAAGGAAAAGCCAGGGAACTATAGACCGCTGAGCCTGACATCGGTGGTGGGCGAACTGTTGGAGGGAATCCTGAGGGACAGGATGTACGTGTATTTGGAAAAGCAAGGACTGATAGGGATAGTCAACTTGGCTTTGTGCGTGGGAAATCGTGTCTCACTAAGTTGAGTTTTTTGAAGAGTGATGAAGAGGATTGATGAAGGCAGAGTGGTGAACATGATCTATATGGACTTCAGTAAGGCGATTGACAAGGTTAGATCACATGGAATAGATGGTGAACTAACTATTTGGATACTGAACTGGCTCAAAGGTAGAAGACAGAGGGTGGTGCTGGAGACTTGCTTTCCAGACTGGAGACCTGTGACCAGCAGTGTGTCACAAGGATCGGTGCTGGGTCCACTGCTTTTTGTCATTTATATAAATGGTTTTGATGTAAACATAGGAGGCACAGTTAGTAACTTTGCAGATGACACTAAAATTGGAGGTGTAGTGGACAGTGAAGATGGTTACCTCAGAGTACAACGGGATCTTGATCAGTTGGGCCAATTGCTCGAGGAGTGGCAGATGGAGTTTAGTTTAGATAAATGTGAGGTGCTGCATTTTGGAAAGGCAAATCAGGACAGGACTTATACACTTAATGGTAAGGTCCTGGGGAGTGTTGCTGAACAAAGAGAACTTGGAGTGTATGTTCATTGTTCCTTGAAAGTGGAGTTGCAGGTAGACAGGGTGGTGAAGAAACCGTTTGGTACGCTTGCCTTTATTGGTCAGTACATTGAGTATTGAAGTTGAGAGGTCATGTTGTGGCTGTATAGGATATTCGTTTGGCCACTTTGGGAGTACTGAGTTCAATTCTGGTCTCCCTGCTGTAAGAAGAATGCTATGAAACTAGAAAGCATTCATGAAAGTAATACGAATTTGTTGCCAGGGTTGGGGGGGTTTGAGCTATATGGAGAGACAGATTGGGCTGGAGTGTTGGAGGCTGAGGGGTGACCTTATAGAGGTTTATAAAATCATGAGGGGCATGGATAGGGTAAATAGGCAAGGTCTTTTCGCCAGGGTGGAGGATTCCAAAACTATTTGAGGGCATAGTTTTAAGATGAGAGGGGAAAGATTTAAAATGGACCTAAAGGGCAGCTTTTTCATGCAGAGGGTGGTGCGCATATGGAATGAGCTGTGAGAAGAAGTGGTGGAGGTTGGTACAATTACAACTTTTAAAGGTTATCTGGATGGGTACATGAGTTTGAAGGGTTTAGAGGGATATGGGCCAAATGCTGGCAAATGAGACTGGTTTTATATAGGATATCTGGTCGGCGCTGGCAAGTTGGGCCTAAGGGTCTGTTTCCGTGCTGTACACCTCAATGGCTCTATGACAGTTAACAATTAGATACGGGCAATAAATGTTGGCCTAGTCAATGATGCCCACACCCTGTGAATAAATAAAGCTATTTGCAAAGTTGTAGGAAAAATAGTGGAGGTTGGACAAATTGGATTTTTCAGCGAGCCAGTACAAGCACAGTGGGCCCAATGGCGTCTTCTCTGTGTATGATCTTAAAGGCTTTACATCACTCTGAGCTAAATATCCCAGTGTTTCGTTGATCTCTCCTCAGGACTCTGTGGTACATACTTGCCCATCATTCATTAGCTTCATGTTGTGGTGTTGAGCATTTCCCTGAACCACTACAGTCCTTATTGTCTCTGATCAAATCTCGACACCAAGAAAGGGGCAGCTCAGCACCTGATTATACTGCCTTGGACTGCAACAAATCCCCTGAAGCAAATTGTGAGTAAGGCTCCAACAACTTTAATGTAAATTCACTGAAAAAATATTGTCAAATTCAGTTCATGCCAATAGGCTTTTTCCAATCCTTCTAGCCCCCAGGGGATGTTCTTAACTAATGTTTCCTCGAAGACTAAGCAGTTCCACACAATCTGATCAGCGAGTCACAGAGTCATATAGTCAGACAGCACGGAGACAGACCCTTCCACTCATTGACTTCCGGTTCCAGAAACCACTGCTACACATGAACCTCGGAATCCGTGAAAAATGACAGGGAACGTAACCCTGGCACCAGGCATGCAACACAACCTTCGGGACTCATATTCTCAGCTGGAGGGAACAGTATCTATCCCCATACTGTACTGTCCCATTAATAGACATAACACGACAGAGAGAATCGCCATGGACTCTGGTGAAGACAATCTTGTTCATTGTAAATTTGAAAGGGGATCTTACCTCATTGAGGATCTCAATGGTGTCTCCCAGGTTGAGCTCTAGCTCTCCTGATTTCACAGGGCTGTATGAAATGACCACTTTGCACCATCTCTGCTTCTTCTTCTTCACCACTGGCTCTGTAATCACATGCACGGCTGTTAGGGTTCTCTCAGTTGGAGGGAATAGAGAATACTGGTTCGTTCAGCAATCACTCTTACAGGGCTCTCCCATACTCTCATCTCTGCAATTCTTCCTCTAACTATACTCTCACTGGGATACAGTCCCAGAACCCCTCCAAGGCAGTTTTACGATTGAATCTAAATCCTAACTTCTTTCCAAGTCATTCAGCAAAGCACTGCAACATAATATTTCAGAATCTTCCAAAGCAAGGTCATTTCTCATTACTGTATTGATCTCATCCTTTATTTCCAGAGCTGCTCCCCCAACCATAAACTGTGTGTACAAATCACTGAGAAACAGAACTGGAAGTAATGCCAACCACTCCATCAAACCAAGGCATATAAATAACAAGCAGGGCAGAATACCGATGCTTCAGCGGAGGCGCACTGATGATGTTACCTAGCAGCGTGATGAAACATTTGCAACCAAGCCCACCGGCTCAGCGAGCAAGTCTACAAAGGCAAAAATTCTCACTGCACCTACATGTTAGCCCTTAGGGACTTATTGACAAGAACAGAGGACACTTTGTGTATCTACACTTTCAAACCTCTTACCATTTAAGAAATGTTCCTCTACAAAAGCACATTTTCCCACATTATGTTCCACCTGCCGTGTTCTTGCACATTCACTAAGCATGTCAAAACCTTCCTGAAGCTGCTTCACATCTTCCTCACAACACACTTTCCCACTTGGTTTGGTATATAATCTACACTTTGGAAATATTACATTTGCTCTCCAAATCATTGAGACATATTGTGAACAGCTTGGGGCTCAGTACTGATCCTTGTGGTACCCTACTTATCACGCAAGAATGACCCATTTATTCCCATTCTGTGCTTTCCACCTGTTAGCCAAAGATTAACCCATACAATATATCACCTCCTATTCCATGTGATTTCATTTTTTCTAACCAGCCTCCTGTGGGGAAATGCATCAAAAGCCTTCTGAAAATCCATCCGCTTTCCTTTATCAGTTTTGTTGGTAATATCTTCCAAAATCTTCGGCAAGTTTCCCGTTCGCAAATCCATGCTGACTAGGCCCATTCAGATCATTAGCAATCCAAGTGTCTGGTTATCACATCCTTCATAACAGATTCTAGCATTTACCTAACAACTGAAGGAAGGCTGATAGGTATGTAGTTCTTGTTTTCTCTCTCAGTTTTTTTTTCTTAAGTAGGGGGGTGACCTTGAAATCCATAGGAATTATTCCAGAATCAGTTCAATTTTGGAAGATAATCACCAACATCATTGATTATCTCTATAGCCATCTCGTTCAACACCCTGGGTACAGACTATCAGATTCTGGGAATTTATCAACTTCAACCCCATCAATTTCTCCATTTTCCTTCAACTCCTCAGTCACTTGGATTGCTAATTGGAGAAGATTTCTTACATCTTCATCAGAGAAAACAGACACAAAGTAATTATATAGCTTCTCTGTCATTTCTCTATTCCCCATTATAAATTCTCCCAAACAGAAAGACACAAACTGTAATTATACACTACCTATTGTTAGTCACTAACAGTCCCCATTTACAATTATTCACCCTCCCAGCCAGATCAATGTCAACTCTTTTGTCTATCCAACTGCTCTTCTCTCTCTTTGGTCTCTATCCTGTCGTTTACTCCCTACCCCATTCCCCTCCCTATTTTCTGCATATAAACCAACATTTTCCTAACTACCATCAGTTCTGAGGAAGGGTCACTGGACCCAAAACGTTAACTCTGATTTTTTCTTCACAGATGCTGCCAGACCTGCTGACATTTTCTAGCAACTTCTGTTTTCGTTCTTTCAGTTTTATAAATTCTTCTGACGCTGCCTGTGATGGAGCCACATTCATTTTAGCCAAATGCTACCTTTTTTACATACTATAGAAGATTTTGCAGTCCATTATTTATATCTTTTACTAGGTTGCAATAATATCATAGAATCCCTACAGTGTGCAGGTGGGCCATTCAGTCCATACCGATCCTTCAAAGAGCCACACCTTGCTACCCTACCCCTGCATTTCCCATGGCTAACCCACCCAGCCTGCACACCCCTGGACACTATGAGGCAATTTAGCATGGCCAATCCACTCTAACTTGCACATCTTTGGACTGGAGGAGGAAACCAGAGCAAACCCACACAGACACAAGGAGAACATGCAAACTCCACACCGATAATCACCTGAGGCTGGAGTCAAACCCAGGTCCCTGAGCTGCGAGGCAGCAATGCTAACCACGGAGCCATCCAATGTTTTATTCTTCCTTTCCTTATCATTTTCTTTGTCCTCCGTGGCTATATTTCATAGACCTCCCAATCCTGAGATTTATTGCTATTTCTGGCAACTTTATAGGCCTTTTCTTCTAATCATAAAGAATCCTGAATTTCCTTTGTTGGTCACAGTTGACTGGACCTTCATGAGCTTTTGCATCCTGAAGGAATAGCATTGTTGCTATAAGTCACATAATAGTTCTTTAATGACTGCCCATTGCCTATGAACAATATGATGTATTCTTTTTTTCAATCATTCACAGGATAAGGGCTTCACTGGCCAGGCAGCATTTATTGCCCATCCCTAATTGCCCAGAGGGCAGTTAAGAGTCGACCACATTGCTGTGCATCTGGAGTCACATGTAGGCAGACCAGGTAAGGATGGCAGTTTCCTTCCCTAAAAGGGATTAGTGAACCAGGTGGGTTCTTCTGACAATCGATTCATAGTCATCATTAGACTCTTAATTCCAGACATTTATTGAGGTCAAATTCCACCATTTGCTGTGATGGGATTCAAACCCAGATCCCCAGAACATTTTCTGTGTCTCTGGATTAATAGTCCAGCGATAATACCACTAGACCATATCCTTCCCTCCTCAGCCATCGCAACCAATCTGTGTGTCGTGTCTTTGTTATTTCCCTTAAACAAATTTAACACCTTTCCTTCAGATTTATCCAGCTAATTTTCAAGCCTCCTGTTCTACCTTACTGACAATGATTCACCTCATTGGAACCATCTGATTGGTGGTGAGATGCCGCTTGGGATTAATGAGACATAAGAAGAAGAATAGGAGCCGGAACAGGCCATTTGTCTCCTCGAACCTGCTCTGTCAGTCAATCAATCATGGCTGATCTGATTGTGGCTTAAATCCACTTTCCTCTCTGACTCACCAAAGCTTTCAGGTCAGGCAATGTTTGTAGATAAAATCAGAGCTAACTTTTCAGGTTGATGACCTTTCATTAGAATGCAGAATCCTTTACGGATCTAAAATCTGGTTAAGTCAGCCTTGAACACATTCAAAAACAGAAATTTCTGGAAAAGCTCAGCAGGTCTGGCAGTATCTGTGGAAGAAATTAGAGTTAATGTGTCAGGTCCAATGACCCTTCCTCAAAATTGATGATAGCAAGGAAATGGTCAGTTTTTGTGCAGAAGATAGGGTGGAGAGAGGGGGTAGGGAGTAAACCATAGATGGAGATAGAGCCCAAAGAGAGAGAAGAACAGTTGGACTGACAAAAGAATTGATAACATTTAGCCTGGGAGAATGAATAGCTACTAGTGGGGATTATTAGTGGCAAACAGTGAGTGGTGTGTAATAGACCATGTGATAACAAGGCCTGGTGTGTGGGGGTTTGACTATGGACATGGGAGAAAGTGGCTGAAGCCCTAAAATTGTTCAACTTGATATTGAGTCCAGTAGGCTGTAGAGATCTCTAGTGGAAAATGAGGTGCTGTTCTTCCAGCTTGCACTGAGCTTCGCTGGAGCAATGCAGTAAGCCTGAGGCAGAGATGTTGGCCAGGGAAGAGGGTGGTGTGTTGAGGTGACAAGCAACTGGAAGCTCAGGATCTTTTTTGCGAGCAGAATGCAAATGTTCTGCGAAGCGGTCACCTAGTCTACTCTTCTTTTCCCCAGTGTGGAGGAGACCACATTGTGACTAGCGAATGCAGGAATTTTTTCAAAGATCTGAACCTCTTTAGAAGAGAATTCCAAAGTTTACCAACTCTTTGAGAGAAAAATTTCTTCCTCATCTCCGCCTTAATTGGGAGGCTCCTCGTTTTGAAACTGTGATCCCAGTGCTGTACGCCCCAGTGACGAGTCCTCACCCTCTGCAGACTGTCCCCACAGACCCATGGCTGAAGTTTCTAATCCCTTTTATGGTTGAACATCCATGTCCAACTCTCAGGCCAGAAACACTGCAGCATAAAACCCTAAAGATGTTCCTGTAAATAAAAGGTAATGTCGCTGTAGTCTTCCAAACCACAGGGCTGTTCTCTCATTAGAGACTGACAGCTAATTGTGTTTCAACCTGAGGGTCACCACTCCCCAGGTTAGGGGAGAGGTTAAAAGGACAGTCCTTTATGGTAACCTCAGCCAGTGTGGGATTTGAACCCACACTTATGGAGTTACTCTGCATCAAACAGCAGCTGTCAAGCTATCTCAGTGAAACTGACCTTGGTTTCTGTAAATATGCAGCCATTAAACGCTAATATAACCACAACTTGAAGGTACTCAGCAACAATCAAAAACCATGAACCGAAACATATTTAAAATTAAAAATGTCCAAGAGGGCTTATGTAGGCTTGTAACAATCAATGGGCAATGAGAGATGCAGAACTCACCCTACTTCTCCACAATAAAAGAAATTAACTAAATTCTCCTTGTAACTCTATGTACACATTGATTGTGGTCAGCTTTACCTTTTTCACCCAGTCAACTGACTTCGTGACTCCCTGCGTGTCTATTTCCCATCCTCACGTATTCAAAACACATTCTCATACATGCTTACTATGCCATGACAGCCTAGTTTCTGACTTCCTGAAGCAGCAACACATTCCAACAGTTACTCCAATCAGATATGGACAATAAAGTAGTTCTTAACCCCCCCTGGCCAGTGTTACAGTGTTATCGATGATTGTGAATGATACTGTTACTTCCTGCAAATGGTCTGATCTAATCAGCTGTGTTTATTTTTCCATTCACCT